AAAATTACAAGTCAGGCAAATGAAGCATATATATATAAGTCATGCTTAATTACGAAAACAGACTTGTCGTTGTGACTTACTGTATAAAATTCGAAGGTCTCATCCAGCTTGATGCGGAATCGCCTACCATCAACAAGGAAATTTCTGTCGCACTGGCCGCGCTGGTCTTCACAGTATTCGCACATAATGAAATGTTTTCCGTCGTCAGACGACATTTCCTATTTTCATATTAGGCGAAACATTAAACACTTACTAATTCAATTAATTCAACTATTTCTATTAATTCAACTAAGCATTCACTAAAAATAAACTAGTTATATTAATTCAAAAAGTTCAACTAAGCATTTACTAAAAATAAACTAGTTCGATCTATATATTAATTCAATTAGTTCAACTAAACATTAACATTTCTAATTCATCTAACATTAACATTTCTAACATTCTAAAAATAAACTAGTTATATTAATTCAAAAAGTTCAACTAAGCATTTACAAAAAATAAACTAGTTCGATCGATCTATATATTAATTCAACTAGTTCAACTAAACATTTATTAAAAATAAACTAGTTATATTAATTCAAAAATTTCAACTAAGCATTTACTAAAAATAAACTAGTTCGATCTATATATTAATTCAACTAGTTCAACTAAACATTAACATTTCTAATTCATCTAACATTAACATTTCTAACATTCTAAAAATAAACTAGTTATATTAATTCAAAAGGTTCAACTAAGCATTTACAAAAAATAAACTAGTTCGATCGATCTATATATTAATTCAACTAGTTCAGCTAAACATTTACTAAAAACAAACTAGTTATATTAATTCAAAAAGTTCAACTAAGCATTTACTAAAAATAAACTAGTTCGATCTATATATTAATTCAACTAGTTCAACTAAACATTAACATTTCTAATTCATCTAACATTAACATTTCTAACATTCTAAAAATAAACTAGTTATATTAATTCAAAAAGTTCTTCTTCTTCTTCTTCTTCTTCTTCTTCTTCTTCTTCTTCTTCTTCTTCTTCTTCTTCTTCTTCTTCTTCTTCTTCTTCTTCTTCTTCTTCTTCTTCTTCTTCTTCTTCTTCTTCTTCTTCTTCTTCTTCTTCTTCTTCTTCTTCTTCTTCTTCTTCTTCTTCTTCTTCTTCTTCTTCTTCTTCTTCTTCTTCTTCTTCTTCTTCTTCTTCTTCTTCTTCTTCTTCTTCTTCTTCTTCTTCTTCTTCTTATTCTTCTTCTTCTTATTCTTCTTCTTCTTCTTCTTCTTCTTCTTCTTCTTCTTCTTCTTCTTCTTCTTCTTCTTCTTCTTCTTCTTCTTCTTCTTCTTCTTCTTCTTCTTCTTCTTCTTCTTCTTCTTCTTCTTCTTCTTCTTCTTCTTCTTCTTCTTCTTCTTCTTCTTCTTCTTCTTCTTCTTCTTCTTCTTCTTCTTCTTCTTCTTCTTCTTCTTCTTCTTCTTCTTCTTCTTCTTCTTCTTCTTCTTCTTCTTCTTCTTCTTCT